TTTTTTTTGTTCTTTTTTTTATTGTTATATCTCATTAAAGGTAGAAAATGATCTGACATGGTTTATCTTGGTTTCATTTTTTATATCACAAAAACCTGCAATTTTATGAGGGATGTGTAGACTTTTATGACCGCTGTATTACCTGTACTATGTGTGCTGTAAGGACACAGCAAGTTTCAGAGAGGGTTATAGGGTTTACTGGGTTAGGTCACCGCACAAAGACAACAATACCATGATGATGTAATAGGGCATAAGGACATTTGATTATAGGTTGAATTTGTGCTGTAGAAAAAAAAAAGTTAACGTTTCATTTTCTTTTGCATTTTAAGACATGTCAGCTACTGGGTCTGTTGAACAGTTTGCTGCACTTCAGAATGGGGCAGTGCTCCAGAGCTCCTCAGCCCAATTACAAAGTGTCTCTCCTGAACATGGAAGTCAGCTTACTGCCCTTTCAAATGACCCCACCATCAAGAATGCCCTACAACTAGGCATCATTTGTCTGCCAGGTGACCTGTTCTGAGCATCTATATTATATTCAATTAAATTATTAATTTATTTAAAAATATTTATTTGTCCACGGTCATGAAAAGTCAATAGCAACATACTGTTTTTGAAGCTTTTTTGTTTTTAGACTGCTTTGCAAAGGCTAGTCACCGTATTTGAAACCTAACTTAAATAAAGGAAAACTGCTGATGTAAATCCCAAGTAATTAAAACAAAATAATTATAAAGGTTTTATATTTTATCTACCACTTATCCCTAAACTAATAGGTTATGATGTGCTAATAACTGATTAGTTACCTTTATGTTTATGTACACAAATGGATTATACTGATAAAATCTGACAAAAGTATATAATGCTTTCGATGGCAGTTTATCATTTATAGATAGTCCTCGCTAAAAACCAATAGCCCAGGGGTGGACCTAACCCACAAAATGCTGTACAATGTGGAACAACACACTTATCAACAACACACTAATCCAGCCTGAAACCAACAGAAACCCCACCCAGGTAGGAGGAGGTGGAACAGGTCTGACGCCACCCCATGGACTTTTGGTTCTGCACCGAGGGCTTTCTTGGACAAACAGCCATTGAATGCAGGATATGCTTCTGATTATGCCAGTGTAATCTGTTTCCATACATAAACACTAAGATACCTCACTACACACTAGCAACAAACATATATAGACACATGGATGGATTCTGAACCCGTGGAGCATATCCCAGCCTACTAGTGCTGGATAAGTGGTAGATAAAATCTAAAAGCCTTACATTGATTATAATAATTTTACAAAAAAAAAAAAAAAAAAAAAACTCAGTTAGTTCCCAAAAATGCACACACAAAATAATACTGTTTGTCTGTGTAATATTGTCTTTCCTGTGCCTCCCATAGGCAGTCGTGACAGAGCTGGCAGAGCTGTGCTTGAAGTCCATGGGGGGAAGAATGGCTGGGCATCCCCTCTGCTCTCTCCTCTAGTACTCTGCAAACTGGTCCTTTATCTTCACTCCATTCCGAGGTACCATCTGTCCAAAGAAAAGTGCACTGTCGCTATTATAGACATGCTGGGTTTTGCATGTGTGTGTGTTTCACAACTTATTATTTTAAACCCCCCAAAACTCATCAGCTGTATTTTAACAATGGAGAAGACATGTAGACATTGAGTAAAGGTTTTAGGTTTGATGATTGGTTTAGTTGTTTTGATGGAGAGACTTGTCAACTGAATTGGCCTTATAGTAAACATACATTTTGCGTGCAACTGTAGCATCATATCTTGACCACTAGAGGGCAGAATGAGGCAGCTCAGAATAAAGAGATGAAGCAAATTACACAATTAATTTAGTTCACGTGGATTTAACATGTCTAATCTCTTCTGAGTTTTAGACTACAAACTGATTGTAAACTGTGACTATGTTGGACTATGTCCAGTTTAAATGCCACTTACAATTTCTTTTTCACCCTTTATTAACATACTTGTTATCAAGAGGGAACCACTCTGCTCTAGGGCTCTACATAGAATCTTTAAGAATTCAATCAAAAGGACCTCTGAATACTCCTTAAGCTAGGAGCCAGTGTGTACATAGTTTTAATAACTTAATGTAGCTTAGTTTCAAATTTTATAATTTCTGGTTTGATTGCATTTAAATCAGTATTTAAAAAGAATTTAATTCCCATCAATAGGAACTGATAGCAGTGCTTATCTCTCATAAACAACCCTATGGTTAAGTGTCTTCCTACTCACTGTATGCTCATAAATATAAGGGGTCACTCCTGCCTTTGGTGACATCCTCTTTACAGCATTAAGATATGCTTGCACAATGTGCAGTTAAGTGTATGCTCAAGAGGGATGAAGAAATGGTAGGGATGTATGTCTCTGAGGACTGAAAAATGTTTGCAGTACATGCTCATGAGGACTGAAGAAATGGTTGCTCTACATTTGTATGAAGACAGAAGGAATCTTTCTATGCGTTTCACAGAATTCTCTCAATATTTCTTTAAAATGCATGAAAAGAAAAATTGCAAGAAAATTAGATTTTGATTTCAGTCTTGAGATCTTACAGGCAGACCTTGGCAATTCTTGATAGTAGTTTCTTGCAACACACTCCCCTCCTTTATTCATCCACAAGCAATTTTAATGTAGTCAGTCCACCTACCTGCATGTTTTTTGGACAGTGGGGAGAACATGCACAGAATTTCTGCACAGACGTTAACCCAAGCTCAGGATTAAACCAGGGACCCAGGAGTTGTGAGGCGGTAAAGCTACCCATTATGCCACCATGCTTATTTGTTTGTTTGTTCGTTCAATTGTTCATTCAGTCATTCTTTCTTTCTTCATAGCTATACAATTAGTAGCTGTAGGCAGGGGTACACTAGTATACACAATACACTAGTATTGCTCAGGTCTGTCTGTAGTTAAAAAAAAGTTCCATTCCAGATGAGCATTTCTTCAGCCTGTACAAGCATGTACCACAGTCAGTTCTTCTTCTGTGAGCATGAAGAAGAAAGCTTTTATTGTCACGCTTATTTTATTTCCCCTGCATATCCCAGCTTGTTAGGAAACTAGGGTCAGAAATAAGATGGCAACTATGGAGGACAAAGGGTTAAGGGCCATGCTCAAAGGCAATTTGGCTGTGCTGTAAACTTAGAACATTCTGATCAGTATCTCAGAGCCTTAATCACTGAGTCACCACTGCCGTAGTAACATGTACCACAAGCATGTCTTGGGTCTGCATGTGTATATCTTCTTTCTGTAGCTGCATGCGCAAGCATGTCTTCATACCAAAAGAGGAAGTCAGTAAAGGCAGGGATGGCCCCCTACATAAGTACATTCATTAAGTGAAAGTAAAGACTATAGATGTCTTTACTTTCTTTTTTTACTCCTTGTTTCAGAATTCTCAATTCTTCTCACATTAATTGCACTGACAACATCCCACCACTAATATACTCTGTAACAGTTCCTTCCCTGAGGCATTCATAATACTAAACACTCACCTGGACTAATCAAGACGCCAACACCCACCCTAGAATGATCGCACACTCCTTTGACTATCAGCACACACCTGCACTTTAAAATGCTAGCAGTGGTACAGTTATATTCACTGTAATA